ATTTTCCATAGGTCTCAAATTCTTCTGTCGGGTGTTTTGTGCATTCGTGCTCTCCTTCCACTTAGTTCTCAGCATGTGTTGACCCAACTTCTATATTTATACTTGGGTTGTGTGGAGTTATTTCTGGTGATTTCCATTTCATTTTGCATATTGTCCTTTAAATGCTTATTGGGTATTTTCTTTCTAGTGTACAGGGAGTTTTTGGTTCTTGGTGGGAGCTGTGGGAGGATTTAGTTGGAGTAGCAAGTTCATTTTCAGGTTGATTTGTGATAGTGGGGACAATATTAAGTTCATTAAGGATATAAGGGAGGTGAGCTTGTGGATTCTTAATGGCACTCTCTCCAACTCTATCCCTGAACGTCAAATTTAAGGTAATATGGTTTGTTTTCGAAAAAAATGGCATTTATGGAACTGTAAAATTGTGTGTTTCCCAAGAGTAGCATGTGTACCCCTTTTTGTTTGAAGAGTAGCCCACAAAGATGCATTTGATTGATCTGGTATTAAGTTTGTTCTGGTGTGGTTGATGGAAATAAATAAAAGGGATGCGACAAAAATTTTTTAGTGATAGGTTAGAGGTGTAAGTCTGAATATGGGGGTAGGATTTTATGTTGGTTTTGAGAGGTTTGTTAAAATTTAGCACTCTGTGCATCCTATTTATGATTTAAGTGGATGTGAGAATTGTATTCCCCTAGAACTGTTTAGATACACTGTTAGTGAATAGAATTGAATGGGTCATCTTGAGCATAAGTTTGTTCTTTCGCTCAGTGTCAACATAAAAGCTTATATGAATGATGTCATTTTTAAATTGATAGGGGTTGAGAGTGGAATTGTGGTAGTCTTTTGCATTATTGGTTTTGAGAATTTGAATTTTTCTCTGAAATTGTGTGAAGATCATGTTGTAAAACATTTCAAATATGCTGACAGTTTTAGTTTTTTCTTCATGAGAAAGATCCAAGTGGTTCTGGTGTGATCATCAATGAAGGTGACAAAACAATTAGACCCATTTTTATTTTTTATTTTTGAGGGACCACCCCATTTATTATCATGAGTCATGGAGAAGAGATGTTAGTTTGTATTTCAGGCTTGATTACACTTGTCGAGTTTGTTTAACAAGTTAACAAGTTTCACCTTGATAAAAAGTAGACTTTTTTTTTGATAAAAAAAATGAGGAGATTTTTTCAATATAATAGTTTATGAATTTCAAGTCGAAATTGCCATAGCATAACTTGAATCTCATGAGAAACAGACTTGGATATAAGACTTGCTCAAAGGATTATGAATGATGAGATAGTTCTTTTGAAGTATCCATGACACATGTCAGCATTTTCAATCACCTTCCCCGAGTTCATCACTTGACATTGACACAAATTAGCGTGAAATTTAGTGACAATTCATGTCACGAATAAGTTTCCAGTTGTAGATAGTAAAGTGTAGGTAAATTTATCAACATAAAACATAGATTGAAGAATAAGATCTTTTGACTTTCACACTTCCTCTTTCTTCCACAGCTGAGAGGGAGCTATCTACAATTCTAACTATAGTTTGGTAGTTGCAAAAAAGTGAAGTATTCGAAAACAGTGATATCACCTATCATGTGATTAGATACTGTAGAGTTCACTATCCAAGGTTGATTCTTTTTTTTGAAAGCAACAAATGCAAATGGAAGGCTACCTTAATGTGTTACAAGACTGGTAGAAGGCTTATAATATTGTTCTAAAAGCTTTTGGAGAGCTTCAAGTTGTTCATTGTTGAATGGATTATATGCTCATGAGGCTTGTCTTCTTTGATGTTGTGTTGGTTTGATTTTCTCTAGCACCTTCGACTTTGTTGGGCTTCCAATCTGCAGACTTTCCATAAAATTTTCAATATTTTTGCGTCAGATGACCAAGCTTCTTGCAATGCTCACACCACAGTTTGTTCCTCCTTTAATTTGTTATTCTGAGATGATTTACGAGTCTATAATGCCGAGTGACAACATTTGATGCAATGAGATTACCTGCCATCATAAGTTTCTTCTCTCTCTCTTCCCTTCGTACTTCAGCAATGGCTTCACAAATTGAGTGAAGAGGTTTAGTTCCCATGATTCTTCCTCTTACTTCATCTAGTTTCTTGTTGAGTCCTATAAGGAATTTAAAGGTTCTCTTTTGTGCAATAATAGTTTGCTATAGAGAGGAGTTATCAACACTTCCATGTGTATGTTTCATACATATCTAGTTGGAACCAAGATCTACAGAGAGTGTTGAAATATTGAGTAACATCCAACTCACCCTGTCACAGATAATGCAATCTAGTTTCAATGTCTAAAAACTCTAAGATATTGTTAGAGCTTGAATAGGTTTCCCCTGTGACATCTTAGTTTTTTTTTTTTGGTCGTTTTGGAATTTCTTTCCAAGTTTTGGAATTTCTTTCCAATTTTCGTGGTCATGGAGTTTACAAGCCATGACATGACCATGTGATCTTCAATCTTTCATGTCCGTTGTTTAGGATTGATAATATTGGTGCAGGATTTTTTTGGTGAGATGATATTTTTAATTTTAGAATTGATCATATTTTTCTTTATCACAGAGCATATGAACATAGATTGAGACCATAGAGGAAATTATTACCATGTCGTTGTGATTGGTGATTTAGGAAGAGATTTCAGATGCTTTAGAACCAAAAATCCTAGGTTTGAGTACATAAGTAATTTCTAAGGATGAAGAAGCAGCTTTCATGCTGTATTTGGTCATAAGAAGGTGTTGGTAGGATGGGGCTTCAGTAGGGATTGTCTGTTGTCGACACAAGATTTCCTCTTGAGAGAGATCCTATCTGTTGACAACACAGGATTTCTGTCAGCGATAAAAATTCTCTATTGTCGACACAGGATGTTCACGAGAGAGATGAAACAGTTGTCGCTAGAGGTAGAATTGTCGTACGTTGGAGGGCTTGTAGGGAGATACTTCGACAGAGAAGAGCTAGAGCTTTTTTTCCAGGCTATGATACCATGTAAAATTCGGGAGGAACTTTCTTAGGGAAAAACTCTCTCATTGAACTAATACAAGCAAATAACAAATATATATGACTTAGGCTAACCCTAATATAATTTGAGGGAAATTCAAATCATCATGATAAGAAGGAAAGAATTTAAAATGCAATAATGGATGATTAAGGAAGAATAATTTCTCCCTCTCAAAGCCCACAATTATATGGATATCAACAATATATTTGTTAGTTTTCTAATCAAATTTAAGCCAAACTTGAGCATTAATCAAGCTAATTAATTTTAATTTTAATGTTAACAATTTGAACCTGTAGACTGATTACTAGAAAATTTAATTCATATATTTTAATAAAAATTGACCTCATTTATTCCTTAATTGTTATTTTGTTGCTTGGTGAAGCTTAAATATTAAAAATAAAATGTTTAAATTATAGAAGAAAATAATACAATAATATAGAACAAGTCATCAAACAAAAAACTATGCCATCATCAATTGAATTTTTATTGTGTTCTTAGTGATCTGCTCATTAAAAAAACAAATGAGCATGTTCATGAACATAAATGAACAAGTGATTTGATATTCAAACCAAAAACATAAATGATCAAGTGATTCGGCGTTCAAATTAATTAATTAATTGTATGACAAACTTCTAAAATTATGCTTTATTTGTTTAATTTTGTAAATAAACGTCATAAACAAGCATTCTATGAGGAAACATTGAATTGTTCAGTGAGTGCACTCTTTCGTTTATAACCTACTTTGAGGATCAAAATTGTGAGTTCTTTACAAATCCTGGCGTTGGTTACAAATTATCTTCAATTTTAACTTTATTAAGCTTGCTAATCTTGTCGAACTTTATGAGTGCAGAGAGAGGGTTAGACTTGTATTCTTTTTTTTCTCAAGCTACCAAAACGGCAAGGTTGGGCATTCAGATGACACACCATTCAATTTCCCAACCTACCTCTACAAAGTTATTAACATATGACGGTTATGTTTTCTTTTTACATAGCTTTTTTATGAATGACAAATATTCAGTTGTGAGAATGATATGTCTTAACAACCATTTAGTTGATATGTGTATGCGCTCAGAGCAACACGTGATACTTCAAAGGTTTGAAATGGATGGGTAAATAGCTCAGATGTTCATGGTTATGAGTAAAATTTAATATTTCAACGTTTCGCTCATGATTTGGAGACTTGGAGCAAGCTGCAGATTTAATTTTTGGAAGATTTACATAAATAAGACCCAATTCTTATGTATTTACATATCTAACACCTAAAAGTTAATTTTTAGTCGCTCAGGAAAAAAGGTTTATTTCACTTTTTCAAAAATAAGTGTAAGAAAGATTTGGGCGGTATAAATGTAAAAATCAATGTTTGTGTTTGATATATAATTACATATGAATTGGTTGGTATGTATGTAAATGCCTCTTAAATTTTATTTGACTACATCGATATCGTAGAGATGCATTTATTTCATCATCGACTTTTGTTTATTGTTTACTGTAGTTTATTTCTTATTTTTTTATGGCATTACAAAATTAATGGTTTGAGATGGAGTTTTAAAGAGATTCGGATATGTTTGCCAAGCTGTTGGTATAATAGATACTATTTGGAACAAAATGAGGGCATATTGTGAAAATTCAGGCCTTTGTCTTGTCAAATCTCTATATGGTAAAGTTCATCTTCCATCTTCTAGGGACTTTGTTGCTTACCGTTTAATTTATCTACTTTTCGAAGTTTCTTTCACATTTTCGTTGTTTTTTGCATCAATATCAGCTATGCGGTATATCTTATGTAAAGAAAAGCTGTCATGTCAAATTTACTTTTATATTTTTCCCAAATATTAAGTTATCAACTAACAGCAAAGCACAAATTTTACGTCTGTTTTTTTTTTCCTTATATCTTTGATTTTAATACAACACTTTATCATTTTATTGGTACTTTTGTATCCTTTTACTACAGTGACAATTATTTAGTATCTCGAGTTTCTAAAAGATCTCTTCAACTGTCGTGCAGAATGATTTCAACTTTGAGATGAGAGATTGGATGACAGTTCGACCTGATGAATTACCAACTGGGTCAAGATTGGTATGAAACATTACGTGATTTCATTCTTGTTTTATTTCACTTTTGTTAAGTTTTGTTGATGCTGCCCTTTGGTTAAGTGAAATAAAACGACCATTCTCACATGGAAATAAAAGATTTTCCACAAATTGGTTTTAGTCTGATTTAGTTTCGTTTGAAACTTTAAAATTCATTTGATTAGATTTTTGCTCAAAGTTCACGCCGCCCAATGCAGTTATATTTTAAGGCGTATTAACTTTAGCAGTTACCGTAAATTCACCAAACACAAATTAATGCTGCCCTAAGTTAAATCCAGAAATTTCTCTCGGGTGACAGTAATCCCGGATTTAATAAATCTGATGTTGAGGTGGATTTAAGAGTGGCTTGTTGCGTATCCTCAAATCCTGAAAGCAAATGCCAAACACGTGTTATTTATTTAACTGGATTTAATTGAAATAATACCAAATGCAAATTTGGATTTAAAAATACTGGATTAATAAATCTGGATTTATCAGATTTAGTAAATCCTACTTAACTTAAATCCAAGATGCAGGCAAACACCCCCTTGGCCCATCTAATTAAAATATAAGCAGTTGATCTCTAATTTATCATTTATAAGATCATGTTGAATCTACATCTGTCTGCTGGATTGTGCCCAAGGAATAGACCCGGATTTCGGGTGGTGAAGAAAGAGAGGAGAGAAAAAGAGCAAGGGTTGTCCCGTCAGGGGCAAATAGGGATGGTCCACTGGCTCATCGACCCCTTTTATTCCACAGAAGTCTAGGTTACAATTGAGGGAGAAGAGGAGCAAGCTCCCTACATGAGTGTGAGAGAAAGAGCCTAAAGTGATCCGTTTACATGCCAAGGGGTTCTTTATTTATAGAAGGAAAAAAGGGGGAGGGGGAGGGTCATGAGGGGTACTCTAGTCTTTTTCCTGCTTGAACCGGTCCTTCTGGAGTACTTTCTTGTTGGATTCGTCGGCGTCAGGTGGCCGGATGACGAATAAAATTTCAAATTTTTAAGTGTTAGATATGTAAAGATGAAGGTTTTGGGCATATGCTTATAAATACCTACCTTTTAGCTATATGTGTTTATAAGAATTGAGTGGTATGTACGTAAATTTTTGGTTTGAGAGGTGGCTGGCCCCGATTGGCTTACAGGTAGAGCAGCAAGGCGGTCAGCAGGAGGGGGAGGTGATGGCCAGTGGGTGGCCGACCAGCTAGCTAGGTGGGAAGATTTGGGTGTTATCTATGTAAATTTTCTGTTTTCAAGATTTTGGCCGACCATGGCTAGGCGGAGCAGCAAGGCGGATGGCCTACTGGAGGGGGAGGCTGGCAAGGTTTGGTTGTGCATAACAGATTTGGGTGCTATTGTATGCAAAATATCCTTTTTATACGACCTAAGTGGCTGGCCCTGTAGGTCCGTGGCTGGCACGTCTCCAGCGGTGGTGATCCCTTTGGCTTGGTGAGGTCATATTTTTGGGCTATACAGATCACTTTATAGCTGCTATTATACATAAATTAAACCAAACGAAACTGACTTGATAAATTTTAAACAAAACCGGATCAAACCAAATTATACATTTTCTATTTTCCCATCCTAAATCGAAACTGGAATGATATAGTTTGGTTTTATTTTCCATCGGTTTGGTTTGGAGCCAAGCTGCAATTTATGATCTTGGTGAATATCTTTTTCTACATTATCTGAGGAGGCTTTTAAAGTTTTTGGAAGCTTCTCCTTATCAATTATGTGATAGGAATTTTGAAATATTTACTATTACTATTATTATCTATAGCTTTATGTAGTCACTGTTTTTTTTTTTAATGGGCGGATGGTTTTATTCTATTTATGTTGGAGATTGTATTTTATTTTGAATATTTTGACTGTATTTTTAGGAAAAAATATCTCTAGCTTTTTGTTTTTTTATACCCCTTTATAAAGTATTATTTGGAATTGCTAAACCTACATCTCTGCTGCGGAATGTAATATTGGGCTTCATGTGTGTCTTAATGACTTTTGGCATTCAATACAGATTATGGGCCTCAATCCTCCATTTGGATTAAATGCTCGTCTGGCGAATCAATTTATAGACAAAGCTCTTACTTTCAAGCCAAAGCTTCTTATTCTTATTGTTCCAGAAGAAACTCGGAGGTCCATAATTTCTGCTTTTTTCTTCCTCTCTCATCTTGAAGCTATTTTGATCTCAGTGTACGGTTTGCTCAAGTCCTTCTTGCTTATTATCAGGTTAGATCAGAAGAATCCACAGTATGACTTGATCTGGGAGGACCGCGCAACCCTCTCTGGGAAGGTATTCTGTGTCCACTTTATTACTTCTTTCTATTTTAGGGGCATTTATATACAGACCACCCCTATCCTAGCATTTTACTTTTTTTTTTTAATATTTATGCCACCGAAATCTTTCATATCACATCAAAAATATCACTATTCTTAACTTTAAAAAATGAATAATTTTTTCAATGCATAGATAAGATAAGATGGACATAGGAATTAAGTGTTATGTATGTAAATCTTCCTTTAAAGTTTAAAGTTTGAAAAATGACGTTTTTATGGTAAAATTTTCCTTGACCGATCTCTTATCTTCTTCCAGTCATTTTATTTACCTGGTTCGATCGATGTGCATGACAAGCAAATTGAGCAGTGGAATGTGAAACCGCCAGTTCTCTACTTATGGAGTCGCCCTGACTGGACATCAAAGCACAAGAGCATAGCTTCGATTCAAGGTCACACGTCCACGCTCCTACCATCTCTCGTCCACAAAGATTCTCAAACAAATAGCGGAGAAGAAGCTTCTATAGCTAATAGGACCACGGAAGAGAAGCACAAGAAGGATGCTAATCAAGGGGACAAAGAAAGCATGCCGCTAAAGCAGAAGGGCCATGCATCCTCGGAGCCTGCCTCTGGATTTGAAGCACAAATTCAAGCTGAACGGAACGAAGAGAGTCCTGAACAGCAAGAAGCTGGCAGCAAAAAGAAACAAATCCAGGAAAGACCCAAGAAGAGGGAAGCTGGTTCAGTTCAGAAAGAAGAATCAAGTGGGAGAGAAGTTCCCAACAAGCAGCAGCGTTCAGAAGAACGGCCTGAGAAGAAGAGTGCTGTTCCAGGGGGAAAGGATGACAAGCCAGACCCAGGCAAAAAAAATTCTGAGCAAAGCAAGAAGCGGAAATCTTCGGAATCGCGCAAGGATAATTCTGAAATGTCTAAGGAGGAGCAAAAACATCCTAAGAAAGTGAAAGGAGGAAACTCATCAGAACATGGCGTGAGCATTTCGCCACCTGATAGAAGGGAGCCAGCAGATCTTTCTGTGACTAAGTCGGGAGCCTTCGAAGTTCCTTTTGACAGGGGAACCAGTCATGGCGCATATTCTGGCTCCGGAATCGAGATGAGAAATATTTCTTCGGTTGGGCGGCCTTCCAGCATCCATGACGATCCAGATCTGATTCCTAGGAGGTATAACAGCGCAGAAAGGGATAGCTTCTACATGAACAGCCCCCATGGCCCATCTGTAACCGAGGCTTACACGGATGAAAGGCTTCGGGGTTATAATACTATAGACCCTTTCAACCCAAATCCCTATGCGAGAAATGGGTACGGAAGACCTGATTCAGATTCAAGAACGCAATCTAGAACTTACGGTTTGCAAAGCGACGAAGTCTCAAACAGTTACGGAAGATCCTCTGATACTGATTCAAGGCCGCAGTTCGGAAGTTACAGTCTGCATGCTGAAGAAGTCAGAAATGGTTATGGAAGGCCGATCGAACCAGAAGGACGAACACAGATTAGATCTTACGGTCTTACTGACGATGCGGATTTAGGGAACAGGTACTCATTGGGAGGTTCGGGATCTCAATCACTGGGGCAGCCGAGTCTGTACCCTTCGTCTTCTTACAGGTTCCTAAGTCCTTCTCCAGAGGCATCAGCTATGCAGAGATATGCGCCTCAGCTTGATGAGATGAACCATTTGAGGGCTCAACCTATGAGTCCCGGCATTCCCTTTCCTTCCAGGGTTAACATCCCACCGGATTCTTTTGGCTTCGCACCCGGAGCTGCTTCTTCATATCCAAACCATCGCTCCTTTGGTGGTGGTGGTGGTGGTGTTGGTGGTGGTTGGATTGATAATTGATGCTTCTTACAGATTTTTGTGCTCTGGTATCATAGTTTTGGACTTGTTGGAGCTTGTATAATGCCTTTTAAATTGCTGGATTTCTAACGCTGATATTTCCCGAGGAACTTTTTTATAGTAAATCTTCATGAATATTCTTAATTCCCTATTATGCAGCTAAATATTATTTGTCTGAAGCTGTTAAATTCCATTTTTCTTTTAATTTAATTTTGGCCAATGCTGGTTCTTGCAGTTGCTATCTGAATAATTGTTGAAACAGTTTTGTATGGAGTATAAATAAGTGAAATAATTATATCAGAAAGATTGGAGTACGTATTTATTGAATAAATATTGTTGAAACGTATAAGTTTTGTGTAGAAGGATTAAAGTTAAATAGCTGAAGTATGAAAATATAGAGTTGAAATGGTTGTGATTGGGGTTTTTGAATGAAAATCGATTAAACGTATTAGCATAGATATAAAGATTTGTGTTGAAGGACTAAAGTTAAATAGCTGAAGTATAATGTACATGCCCATTATTTCTCGTGCATTTAATACCAAACACTTAAAAGTGTAATTTTTACATAAATGCCACTTTGTCACTTTTTTTTTTCAAGCACAATAATGATATTTTTGATGTGGTATGAAGCATGTGAGTGGTATAATAGTAAAAAATAATGTTTGGGTTTTAGATATGTAAATACATGTAAATACATAGGAATGGCGTGAACCGCATGTAAATTCCCCTAAATTTCTGGAATAAAGTTAGAAGGAAATGGGAGATAGCTCTGCGAACTTAGAGATGAGTTGATTTCATTGTTTGAAAGATTTTTAAGATGAGTAGTGTAAAGAAGAATGGTGGAGGATTCCCTGAAAGAAGATTGTGGGACTCCTTAAGCTGACCAAGCCAAGCTAGCCGAGTAAAAATTTTGTGTGAGGATGGTCGATCGGTACCGACTAAGAATGCAGATGGAACCTGACCAAAAGGATGCCCAAATCTTTAACCAAGGGAAAGTTGACTTCATACGGAAGCCTATCATGTAGAAGAGACCACCTAAGGGAAGAGTCACTTTCACAACATTTTTCAATTATCAAATGGAGACAATTTTTCATCGGAAGTAAGATCTTTGAGCCAACTAAGTTTAGGTAAGAGTGTTGAGTGAATTGAGGCCAACAAGTAGAGTTTTATTTTCTTATGTATATCAACTATAAATCTTGAAAGATTTTTATATAAATGATTAGATACGACATTTGAAGAATAACTTATTATCCTGAGGGGAGGAAATTTCACCTTAAAATGGATCTTAATTTTCGATGATGAAAAGCTGTAAGATTTATGGGTATAAGGAATCGGGCGTCTTCCCTATCTTATAAGGGCAAAATTATAAAATAATTAAAACTAACCGAAGATTTAAAAAACCAATTAACCAAATTAAAATAATTAACCAAAAATTTCCTAAGACCCACCCTAAGCGCCTAACCCACCAAACCTACCCTCCAAGTCCAAACTCTAAAACCCAAGACTAAATCTTATGTTTAAGCCCAAGCCCAAATCCACCCAACCGAAGTCAACCCTCATACCCCCATGACCCAAAAGAGACCCGCGGAATGAAATAAAATAAATTAAAAAAAAAACCCCATCCAATCTAGTCCAAGCATTAAAGGACAAAAATCCATCATGGCTTAACCTAAACCCCTCCATATGGAACCCCAAGCCACCAAAACCTAAATTAAGTGGGGACTAGCTCTCGACAGAACTGAGCCTATTCACCAAACCAGGACACTTCCCAATCTCACAAGCTCCTCTCATGCCCCTTCCATGTCAGTTAGGGGAGCTCATACCCAAAAACTAAAAGGAGGAAGCCTCCATTCCATTATCTAAGACTCTTGCCAGAGCTCTTCTCAACCTCAACCAATGCCTCTAAAGGATCCTCAAGCACAATCTAAGCTCTCCCATGGCCATAAAAGGCCCTAACTCACAAGGCATGCAACATATCCAAACTCCCCAATTCCTTAAGAAAAAGTTTGCTTGCTGAATGTTGACCTCAATTTTGGTGAGGTCTTTTCTTCCTCTTAGTGCTTAGAATCTAGTCTTAGGACTTTTCTTGTGACTATCCTAGAAGTCTAGAGATGAAACACACCTAAATAAAAATTCAAACCATTTCTTTACTCTCTTTGAAACCCACATGGATGATAATGAACCTCCAGTACTTGGAAGGTTGAGATCAACATGTGAGGATTCAAAGGTTGAGTCCCCATAGGATTGTTGGATTTAGGACAACCCAGGGTAGCTAGGGCTTGGTCTTTCGCACACTCAAGCACATCACTACTTCCTACTTGTCCCAAAATCCTAAATCACACCCATTAACCTACCTCTTTTACCTTCTAAGAAACTCACAGGTATGGTCCCAAGCCTCTGGCCTTTGGTTTAGGTGGTTATGATCAATATGTGAAGGTTCATGAAGAGGTTGCCTTTTCGTTAGGTTTTGTCCCAAGAGGGTTAAGTATGGCTAAGTCCCATGAACAAATACCCCCAAACCCTAAATCATACCCAAATAACCAATTTTGGCCTTTTAGCCTCAAACTTTTTTAAAATTACCAATTTGCCCTTGAAACCCTAAAAATTCCAAAAATGACTCAAATTATCAATTTTCTCCAAAAATCATGTTAAACCATTCTAAACCATCCAAATTGATCAAAACACCTCAAAATTTCTAAAATTTCCAAAGTACCCCTAAACTTAACAAAATTACTAACTTGCCCCTCATGGCCCAAAAATTTCCAAAACCTCCCAAATCATTCCAAACCTCCTCTAAACCAATCCCAATTGACCATTGGGCCCAATTTGACCAAATTGACCAATTTTAACTAAAATCCCAATTTTGCCCCTAAATACTTCAAAATCTCTAAAATTACTCCAAAAACCTAAATTCTCCAAATTTGCTTTAAATGTCCCCAAAATCAATTTGAATCACCCAATATATTCAATTATGCCCAAATCCACCAAAATTTACCAAATTGCCCCTAAAGGCCCAAAACTCCCAATTTGCGCCCAATTGATCAAATTGTCCCCCAATTTTCATCCAATTCACTCCTAACCTACCCAATTTCAAAGTTCAATCTCCATTTCAATCAAACCCAAGCCCAATTTGATTAGCCCATGGTTAACTTTGATTTAAATCCTTCATGCATACTTTAAAAGCTTATTCGCATAAATAATTTTCAAAAGCCCAAGAAATTAACTTTAAAAGCCCAAATTGAACTCACATGAAAAAAATTCCTTCCTCATCATCTCATTTTAATTAATTATTCATCATGGGCATCATAACAATCATACCATGCACACATAGGAACTTTTATCCAAATTCGGCATGATGGCATCTTCTCCCTAAAAATTTCATAAAAATAAATTTCCTTTTCCATGAAAGTTCCCCATGACATCATAAATGGCATGACACATCCCATGGAACCTTCCATGGGCATAATTAATGTCGAACTTACCAAAAATGGCAAAAGGAGGTGATCGTACTCTTCTCCTTCATTGGGACTTTCCCTCTTCATGATTTATTTAAACCTTTGCTTCATGACCAAGCCAACCATTTAAACTCACCCAAACCTTCCTTAGGGTCATTTCAAGGGTTTGAACCCAACCTCCCTCCTTCATTGGGACCAGACTTAGCCACTTGACCAAGGGTTTGAACCCAACCTAGCTCACTTTTCCTAAATCCCATTTTTCCATTGGTTCTTCACATTGGAGCTTACCTAAAACCAAATTGAGATGACCAATCAATCTTCCCGACTTTCTTGAACTCAGAGGTGACTTGACCTTGGCCAGTTGACCACCTCAGCCGCCAGAAAACCCCATGCCAGAGAGCTTTCCCAAAGCCAAAACCAAAAATTCTACCCACCTGAGATGGCTTAAGCTAATTGGCCATTGGAGCTCTTCTTCCCTCCACCTAAGCAGCTCCCCTTCCACCATGGCTTGTCCTGATGACAACCATAGTCTCTTCTATAAATATGAGACCCCCCAACAGCCAAAAGAGGAGAGTGCAAAAACCTTAAGCAAACTCTGCAAAAATTTCTCCAGACCCCCTAGCAGTCCAAAGAAGCTAATCCTACCATTTCCTTGCCTAATCCCCACTGCCAAAGCCTAATTTTTTCACCCAATTTAAGGGCTTTTGATTGCCATACCTTGAATTTCATCAATTCCCCAAATTTATGAGCTTTTGAGCTTCACCAAAGCTAGAGAGGAAGTTTCCCACTAAAATCTCCATCCCTAGAGCCCTCTGCCATAGAGCTAGACCAAGCCTGTGCCACCCCTCGATCGAGCACATACTCAAACCCAAACCCTGATCAAATTTGCAATTGGAAGAGGTTCGCCAACTCATAACAAAGTTCAGGAACAAATCTAATTGAGGCTACACCTATTGGACAAAGGTATGGATCAAAACACCCAAATTCAACATTGGTTTGGGCTTTTATGAATAAAAGTTTAATTTCATGAGCATGTAACCATATGGATGTGTTCGTCTCACCCAGATGAAGGTGTAGAAACAAACCCTGCATGATTTGGTTGGGAATTGAGGGAGAATATATATTTAAAAAATGAACGGTTTATGGGTTAAGTCACTTGGGAACGATGACCACGAGTCACTCGATCGCTCATGTATCGGACGGACATGCCAGATCGCACTAGATAGATAGATGGAGCGGTAAAGGCGGGACACATGTCGGCTAACTCAAAAGGTAGCGTCCAATAACGCGACAACATGTGGAAAGTTCAGAGCTACCGAGGATTGCGTGGCGCCGACGTGGATAAGTAGAAGAATAGGCTTTTTTATTTAATTAATTCAGAAAAAATAGAAAATTCATAACTTGGTGTATAAAAATCATAAAAATAAAATAAAAATACCCTTATACTCAGTGAACAGAGGAGAATCACATGGATCAAAAATAAAAATTATTTGACTTATATATATATTTTTAAATTTTTAAATACTCTAAATCTTATTTAAATCATAGAACATTAAATATTAATCATGATGGGGTAAAATTTGATGGGTTTACTCTCTCTGTGTTTAGGAATATTCTGTGATTTTTTTTGAAGTCAGAGAAAACTTGAAAAGTGGTTTTGGGAGTCACTTGTGACCAGGGACACCTAAAAAAGATA